TTTTTTTTTACCTCGGACTACCTTATTTACATCCAAATAGCAGTGTCAGATTATTTTCGGAATGGAACAAAACGGATTGGATTTCATTTGCGGTCTTTTCAAAGAAAGATAACAGATGTGTCCCCATGAGCCCTAATCTGCAATCAGATATTCATGGCAGACATTTTGCATTTCTGATAAGCTGGATGGCCTTTTTGTGGTTGTAACCGAAGTTGCATCATCTGATCTCAGTATGCTGACGATTCTGACGTTCCCTTCATTGATTTCATCTCCAGCTGAACGAGAGCGCGATACTAAGCATCTTTTTTTGCACTTGTCTTTTACTCCCTTTTCCATTTTTCCTCCTTTTTTCCTTGCTCTACTTCCTCATTTTCTTTCCTCCCTCCCTCCCTCCCTCGTTTTTGTGGTTTTCCAGCTTGTTAAGAAATGCTAATCGTACTAAGATTCCAAAGGTACCATCTTCGCATTCAAAAATACCTGCTACCATATTTATGAAGGCGATCACTTAACCCACATTTGGGCAATGAATACGAATGACTGTTTCAGGATGGCTCGATGATCTCAGCACTTGAGAGCAAAGTGAAGCACGCGCAGTGCTTCGATGTGGCGCTTGTTGAGGACGGGTCGGTGGTGCTTGCAAGCAAGGATTATCGTCTGTACCTGTATCGCTATCACACAGCATCGGTACCAGGATCGAGCAGTAGCGGTAGCAGTCCGCCGTAATCGACTCCAAAATGCGAAAAGGAAAAAGGGCAAAAACAGCAGCGCGAGCGCCGCGCCCTTATTGTTTGTTATTTCTCAAAGAAAAAAACAAAAATATGGAGGGGTTGTGGCGTACAAAAGTAAACTTCTGTGAAGGAAAAATCATTGCACTTATGTGATTTGTCAGCTTCAGCTGAAGAAGAACTGAAGAAACAATGATGAAACAATGAGATATAGATACAGTAGTTTCTGAGTTCAAATTTATTAGATTAAGTATTTATATACATAAGTATTTCGATATTTGTGTATAGAAATACTCAGTTCCGTACAAGTATTTTGTGCTCCACATCAATCTTCATCTGTTTTCAATTTTCCTTTTTTTAATTTTGTTTGTTAGTTGCATTTTTTTGCAGTTTCGTTAGAAAAAAACAGTTGTTGTTTTTTTTTT